AAGCCACACAGGGACACACTATAATGTTTTTATGAGACTACCTTTCTGTTGGATGGCACTCAGCAGTAACATTCACCATAGGTTTGATCATGCTTCAAGTTCTCATGAAAGAGAAACTTCCAGAATTGCTTCAGAAAGTGGCAAGAATGATGGGATAGGTGTGTTCAGTGCAAGGGGGAGTATTTTGGTACTTTTTTTTTTTTGGTATCGGGGATCAAACTCAGGACCTTGTGCTTGCGAGGCAGGCACCAGAACCACTGAGCTAAATCCCTGGCCCAAGGGGGAGTATTTTGAGGGAAATTAGTGGCGTTATGTTTTTACTGTAATTAAAAAAATTTAAACACATATGGGTTTTGATCAGCCCTTTATTTTCACTATTCCATTTTCAAAATAGAATTTTATTTTTTGTTTGTTTGTTTATTTGTTTGAGACAGGGTCTCACTATGTACTTTTGGGTAACCTTGAACTCACTAGGTAGCTCAGGCTGACCTCAGACTCATGGTGATCTTCCTGTCTCAGCCTTCTTCTTCTTCTTTTTTTTTTTTGGCTTAAATTCTTTTATTGGTACATTTTAGATATACAATTCGTTTACATTTATCATTGGGTACTTGTACCTGCACATGATGTATCTTGGTTCTTAATTTTTCCCCATTCCCTGTGCTCCCTTCACCCCTCCACCCTTCTCTATTTACAAAGACTTTGTTTCCATTTTTTCCTTTTCTTATAATTTTTCCTTTCCTTTCTTTCCTTTCCCCTTCCCCTACCCCTTTGGACCTTTTCTTCCTATTTCAAATTATCAATTACTTGTTGTAATCATTTTAATCCTTATTTGCACTTTCAGTTTCTCACACCAGAGAAACTATTCGGTATTTACACATGTGTGTCCTGTTCATTTCACTTAAGAGTATGTCCTCAATATGCATCCATTTAGCTATAAATGTCTCTAGTTTCTCATTCTTTATGGTTGAGTAGTACTCCATTTTATAAAAAAAAACAAAACCTGCATCTTCTTTAACCAGTTTCCAGTTGATGGGCACTTGGGCTGTTTCCAAGTTTTTGCTATTACAAACTGTGCTGCTATGAACATGGGTGCACATATATCACTGTAGTATGATTCTTTTAATTCTTTGGGGAAGATACCCAGCAGAGGAATAGCTGGGTCAAATGGGACCTCTAGTCCTAGTTCTTTGAGGTATCTCCATACTGATTTCCACATGGAGAGGGTTCCTTTCTCCCCACACCCCCATCAGCATTTGTTATTGGTTGATTTCTTGATAGAAGCCATTCTTTCTGCGGTGAGGTGGAATCTCAGTGTTGTTTTCATCTGCATCTCTTGAATGACCGGTGATGTTGAACATTTTTTCATGTGTTTATTTGCTATTTCTATTTCTTGGTCTGAGAAATGTCTGTTCATTTCAGATGCCCATTTTTGAATTGGGTCTTTAAATTTGGGGGGTCTGATTTTTTTCAGTTTTTTATATATTCTAGATAGTTGTCCTTTGTCTGCCTGTCTCAGCCTTCTACGTGCTGGGATTATAGGTGTGTGCCATTATGCCCAGCTTACTGAATATAGAATTCTAAGTTGACAGGTTTCTTTGCTTTTGTTTTGTTTGTCATCCTGTACTTTAAAGTAATATTCCACTGTCTTCTGCCTTGAAATATTTCCAACCAGAAGTCTGCTGTCATTCTTTGTTCTTTTCTATGCAATGTTTCTCTTTTTCTCTTCTACTCTTCATATTTTCTCTTTATAATTGGTTTAAGCAATTTTGTTTTATGTGACTTGGTAAAGTTTTAATCAGTTTTATTGTGTTTGATGTCTACTGAGATTTTTTGATCCAAATTTTGGACATCTCTGGTTATTTTTCAATTTTTTTTTGCTCCCCTCCTTTTTCAGGGACTCTACTTACACATATGTTAAGCTGCTTGAAGTTTTCCCACATCTTGTTGATAATCTTTTTTAAAAAAATATTTTCCCCTAACATTTGGATAGACATTGCTATCTTCAGATTTACTAATCTTTTATTCTGTGTTGTCAAACTTGTTTTTCATCCCATCCAGCATGTCATTTTCCATCCCAGAATTTGCATATTTTCATACCTATTAAGTGTGATTTAGGTCTTTTTTCCCTTTCTCTCTACTTAATACCATCAAACGTGACTCTAGCTTCCTAAACATATGGAATATCATTATTATAATTGTTTTAATGTTTTGTATACTAATTCTATCTTCTGTGCTATTTTGGGGTCTGTGATTAATTTTTATACTCTTTATAGATATTATTTTCCTGTTTCTTTGCATGCCTAACAGTTTTTGTTTAGATGTGAAGCATCATGAATTTTACTTTGTGTGCTGATCACGTTAGTATTTCTATAAATGTTCTTGAGCTTTGTTCTTGGATGCAGTTAAGGTACTTGAAAAGATGGTTATTATTTTGAGGCTTGGTTTGGAGTTTTTTTAGGCAGGGCCAATTAACCCCCCTCACACACATACTACCAAAGCAATATCCTTTTAAGGACGCTACTTGATGTGCTGTGATTTCTGAGGTTTCCCACTTTAGCTGATAGAAACACAAACCATTCCAGTTTGCATGAATTTTGGAAATTGTTTCCTCTGCTCCTTTGGGATAGTCTTTCCTTAGACTTGGGCAGTTTCCTCATATCCTATTGCTGTTAGATATTCAACTGAAAGCCGGAGGGGAGCTCTGCAGGTCTTTGAAGATCCCTTTCTTATTAAGAAGCTCTCTTCTCTCCAGTTCTCTGCTCTGTGAACTCCAAATGCTTTGGTTTCTCAGACTCTCTGCTTGTCTCCTACTCAGGGAGATAGCTGGGATCCCACTCTTTGAGCTGCAGCCTAGAAACTCTCCCCAGGTGGAAGCTGGCAACCATGGGGCTCACCTCATTAGTTTCTCCTCTCTCAGGGATTGCTGTTTTGTGCTGCCTGCTGTTCAGTATTTGGAAAATGTTGCTTTATATATTTTATCAAGGTTTTCAGTTGCTTTAGGACAGAGGGTAAATTGACTCCCTGTTTCATCTTCCCAGAAGCCCTGTCACTACACTTTTGCATTTAATTATGCAGTAATCTTGTATATTGTGTATGATTATCTCCATTTTACAGGTAAGGAAAATAATGACTTACAGATTAAATTTTAGTATAGTAAAGAGAAAATAGAATGTAACAAGTAAATTGATGGACTGTGTAGCCAAACAATCTGGGTTTGACTCTCAGATTCCCTACGTATCAGGTGTGTGACCTTGGACAAATTACCTTCTCTGTGCCTCTGTTTTCTTACCTGTAAGATGAGACGATAATAATAGAAACGAATTTATACAGTTGTTGGGACAATTGAGTTAACATATAACTGCTACATGGTTACTGTATAACTATTAGCTATTACTATCAGAGTAGAGTAGCTAACATCCTGGAGCTGAGTGACAGGCAGCCTCTTTTTGAATTTCAGATCCATCACAATTTACTGTACAAACTGTGCTGTGTGTATCAGGCAGGGTTCAGTTATGGAGGCAGAATCACTAGGAGATTCTAACCTGAAACATGCATGAAAAGGAGTTCTGGGAAATGTAGTTCCACTGAGCCCAGTTGACACATTACAAAGTCACTGCCCCCATGCAATTTACCTGCTTGATTTCCTTTCCTCTAAGATGGAATAATAATGCCCCTTGTTAGATTAACTGGCAGAGAGCACATGAAGCTTGGAGCAATGTCTGGTACAGAGTAGGGTCCCATAAATGGTTCTTACCATAGCTGCCCAGGAGCCCACAGATAATAACAGCCAGAGGAAAAATCTGAACCTCCAGCTTCTGTCCACAAAGCCTGTTGCTCTTCCTACTGCTTGTATTGTTTCTCTGTGCTGGGCCTGGGAATATTAAAATGAGCAAGACAGACCCTGCCACGGGATCTCACAGTTTGGTAGGGGTAAGCCAGGGGCACGCATACATGTATGTAATATAGGCCATGAAAAAGAAGTCAGTCACCATTATCAGGAGCCTTCTAAAGACTGGCTCTGAGCTGGATTCCCTCTATGCAAAAGAAGGAGGAAGAATTCTTGGTTTGCTGCATGTGTACTCTGTGCTGGGCACCGTGGTGGGTAGTTCACATAGTGATCACAGTCAGTCCTCCCAAGTAATAAGCTACATTTTATTATCATACCCACAATCCAGATAAGGGAACTAAGACCCAGAGAGATTAAGTCACTTGAGCTAGGTCTTAGAGTAGCTAAATGACAGAATGCTTAGGTCCTAGGACATGGCTATAATGGCTGTGGACACTGCAACCTGGGGTCCATTCTAGGGTCACTTCTGAACATGGGGACTCCCCTGAGCTCAGATGCCAGGGCTAACTCAAGAGCACCCTTGCAGGTCTGCTCTGTGCCTGGGTCTGCCTGTGGGCAGCAGGGTTGGTGGTGGCTGCAGTGCCTATGTGGTGGTGGTGGTGGTAGTGGCAGCAGCAGCAGCAGGGAGACAGTCACACCTCACTGTTTTGTAAACTGTTTCTCACAGCTTGTTTGTTCCGGGTTAGGGCTGGAGCGGCACCGTATGGAAGTGTGACTCATTGTTTAATGTGGCAGCTCATTAGCAGAGCTTGTTGCTGCCTCTGATTTCTCTGCTCTTGCTAATTGGAGAGCCCAGTGGGGCCCTGGATTCCCAGGAAGAGCCAGTCCAGCTCCCCCAGGGTTTCAGCTGGCCCTTGCCCTTGTGGTTCCCTGAGGAGGCCACCCCATGCCTGTGGACACTGGTGTCAGCCAGACCATGTTTAAATCTCAGCTCCTTCTGGCTTTGTAGCCTTGAATAACACTGTTCTCCCCTCTGAGCCTCAATTTCCTTAGCCACTTAGTATGGAAAATAGTAGCTACCTTATCAGGGTGGGTGAAAGGTGCAGTAACAACAAGTATAAGTCCTCTGGCACATAGTAGATGCTCAGTAAGTGGTTTTATTGTGTTGTTATTATTTTCTTTTAAATTTTTTTTTTTGGTACTGGGGATGGAACTCAGGACCTTGTGCTTGCAAGGCCTTCATAGTGCCACTGAGCTAAATCCTCGACCCTGTGTTGTTATTATTAAGCTAAAGTTTCAGAAAGCCTTCTGTCCTGAGCTACCTGGACCAGCTACCCAGCTCCAAAGTTCTCCAGAGGGACAAAGGATGAGGACAATTTCCACTGTAGGTAATCTGATACCATGTCTTCCATGCTTAACCCCTCCTAAGGCAAATCCCCCCAGAGGTCCCAGATTCTCCTATCTCCCTGTGCCCTGAGGGAGGCAGCGCAGCCCAGCTTTGGACGGTCCTGGGCCTTCTTAGAGTGGAAGCTTGCTCTTTGCCGTTCCTCCTCCATCTAAGCTCTCCTCCTTGAAGCAAAAGAAGCAAAAACAAAAAAAACCCTGCTCCCATTGCCTTGTGACTGTCCTTTGCTATTTGAAGGCAGTGATCACATCTCTCCTCGTTTCCTTTCCAAGTGGGTCATATCATTTCTTCAACTATGCCTTCCATGACCTGGTTCATAAGGCCACTGAAGACAGCTATAGAACAGGGATATATATCAGTGCTGTAGCTCACTCTGAGTGCCTGCTCACCCTCCTCCTCTCTCTGGACTTGCTCCTCTTTGCTGACATGCCTCCTGAAACATGTAGTTCAGAATCCCACTCAATCTCTTGCAGACTCGGCAGCTTTTTCCTCCTGCAGCCTCCAATGGCAAACTCCTGTGAGCCATGTGTATAATTTTACATTTTCTAGTAACTACCTTTATAATATCATTTCGGCTTGTAATCAGAATCAAAAGTCACTAATGAGATGCTTTAAGCTTCTTTTTTCATACAAAATTTCCAAATCGTGTTTTATTCTTATAGCATAGCCTATTGTGGACCAGTGAGTGGTGGCTGTGATGTGGCATTCAGCAGTTCTGGACTCTGCTGTGTGGGCACATCTGAGCTGGGCGTGGCTCTGAGACACATCACTGTCACTCCGGAGGGAAGGGCGTGCCTGAGTGAGTATTAGGTCTCTGTCCGTTAGAGGGTCTGGGTACCAGTCTTGGTTCTACCACTAGTTCACTACACTTGTGAAAAGTTGCTGTCTCTTTCTGGGCTTCAGTTTCCTTGTCTGTCAAACCCAAAGTGACAGGAAGAGAGAAGCACCTGCTCTTGCCAGTGACTCTCTGTGATCTTATTGTGTCTTCTCGTGTTGTTCCTAGGGAAAGCCCGTGTTGTATATATTCCTCCCTCTGTTTCAGACTTGACCCTGAGGCTCACTCCTGGGCTAACAGATTCCCGTAGCTGGTGGATTGGTGGCCTCTGCCTTCCAGGCCACCATAGAATCCAGTGAGGCTCAATTTCAAGCATGGAGCCCCAATCCTGTCCCCTTCCTGGTGGTGGCTCCTTCCCTAAGTAGCAGACAAAACATAGGAGATGGCAATGTTTTTAAGTGTTTACAGGTGGTGGTCAGCTATATGGAAACACTCCATATGTCCAAGTATCTGGTCTTGTCCCTCCAGAGTGGTCCCACATCAGTGGTGGTTGTGAGACCAGATCGCCCCGCCATATGACTGTCCCTACTCTACTAGGATATAGTAGAGAAAATCCCAGATATTGTACTGCCTAAGCCTCCCTCCCATCACCTGCTTCTTCCCAGCTCCTCAAATCCACCTGACTCTTTGTTCTAATCCAAAAGCCACCTGTATGGCTTTAAGCAAAACATATTACTTGATAGAATCTCAGTTTCTATGTCTGAGATGGGAAGAATTCCACCTCTTCTCAAAGCTGGTAGAAGTGACCACAGGGATGGTGTTGTATGTGAAAATGGCTTGCCTAGTACTTTGAAAAAAATGATAATTATGATGGAATCTTCACGAATCAGTTTAACAACATTGTATCCGTGCTCCCCTACACTGAGCCCTCTGCATGGCCTTAATGGCTTGTTTCTCAATACCCCACCATCTGGGTTCTCTTAGCCTGGCCAGGCAGCTTCCACACTGACTCTGTGGAGCTCATCCACAGATGACCACTTCTGTCTAAGAAGAGCCACCAAATGGATTAGGCTGGGGTGAGCTTGGGAGGTCTTGCCTTGAGTACCCTATCCTCAAGACCAGCCGTCTTTGAAAATAAGACAGACATGACTTGTATTTGTGAATCTAAAGTGTACTATACTCTGCCTTGTGTTTTCAAGGAGAGAAAAACTGATGAAGCATCAACTTATGGAATACTCAGGGCCATTGTCCTGGACCAACATGACCATGTTACAATGAAGAGTGGAGAGTGCTAATGTTTGGCAAGCGCCCACTCTGCTATGGGTATTTTGTCAAATGAGGTTCTCCAAGTCTTACATGACCTTGGTACAAAGTTTGAATAGTATCCTCTTTTCACACATGTTGAAAGTTAAGCTCTGAGCTGTTTAGAGACTTGCCAGGGTCTCATGCACAGGCATTCAGCCTCTTCTCACCTCCACATTGCCTACACCCTGGGTCCTCTGAATTCCATTTTGATGCCTCTTGGCTGACAGGAGTTGTTTGCAAGCTCTCTGGGCTAGCCTCTTGCTTGTTGGGGGCGGGTGGGATGTACTGTGGGCAGCTGCTGCCTCTGTCTTTGTCCTGTGCTGGTTTGAGGAGGCTTTTACTGCAACATGTGCTTTTAAGCCTTGCTTTCCTGACCAGTCTCTGTCACTTGCACTTTTATCAGTTCCTTCTTCTTTAACCACTCTCTCCTTGTAGCTTCCACAAGTCTTCCCTTCCCTAGCTCAGTGACTGCTCCTCCCAGCATCCTTTGCAGCCTACTACCATTGCTCTCTTCCACCCTAAACATACTGCTGTCCTTCAACATCCCCATTTGGCTGTCCTTTTTCCATCTTGCTCCAGTATCACTTAGGCTGATTTCACTATCTATGGCAAGGACTCCCAATTCACATCTCCTGTCCAGACCTCTCCCAGAGCCCCAAACTGTATGTTTTCTGCCTGTCCAATGGATGTCTTCCCTGCCTGTCTCACCAGTATCACAAACTCAACTCCCCAAACCACATCCAGAATCTTCTGAAAGTTCTGTCTCTATGTCTGACTTCTGTTCCAGTGGACATCTCCCCTCCCTGCACCACTCCAAGAGCCAGTAAAGCACAGACTCTGTACCAAGTGACACCATGGCTCTCACTTGATTCCTAATCAACCTGGTGAGTATGGTATGGTTTTAGTGTCATTCCTGTTTCACAGATGAAAATACAGTGACAGAAGTTCCTGGTGCCTAAGGAACAAGGGATGGTTCCTCCTTTGGTTTTTGCTTTTTTTTTTTTTCCACACTCTAAGCCCATAAATTATATCAGCTCTGCTCAAGCTGAGCCAAGGTGGGCAGCAACTGTTCCTACCTGGGACATCTGCAGGTGTCCTCTGTACTCTGTGAGCCCAGCTTGGCAAACTGATTCCCCAGGTTGGTTCCTTGTTCTGAAGTATCTCACCCTCAGCTCTCTCCCCACCAAACCCCAGGCCCTGCCTCAGGTCTGTGAAGAGGTCATGCAGTGAGTTGCTCAGGTTCCTGACCTGGGGACGTACTGACCCCAGGCCTGCCTCCTCTTCACTGTGACTCCTCCTTGAGAAACAAACTAAGGATAGTTGATGGTGGTGTTTTGAAGTGTGGGAACAGGGGTCAGTGTGCTAGATGGAAACACTTCCATCTGTCTAGGCATGTGGTCTGTCACCCCACAGTGGTTGGTTGTAAGGCCGGGTCTTGGATCCTCTTTCCTCTGTTATTTTTACCATTATTGTCATTATCATCCTAACAACCCTATGATGTAGGTATTATCAATGTCACCATAAAGCTAAGAAAATTGGGGCTCAGAGAGACAAATTCACCTCCCAAGGCCACAGAGCTCAAGCTATGTTTTAAAGTAGGCCAGTTGGTCCCAGTTTATATGTTCTTTCCATGTTAAATTTCAGGGTGATCCATTGGTTTAGGAGAATAAGTTGTTCTTAAAATGATTTATAAAGTATACACATCAAAAAATAGAAGACTTGTAGAGAGTTAGCTACAACACACATTACTCAGAGACTTGTATCCTGCAGACATGGGGTGACCCATTTATGCACACTGTCTCAGTTGTTCCTCCTAGTAAACGGCACAGAGGGGGATTCTCCTCTGTCCCAGACATGGAAATGGAGAGTCTCTTAAGTGCAGTGATTTGCTCCAAGTCCCCCAGGTGCCAGATGATGCCTTAGGATTGGAAGGTGAGTCTTTGAGACTCCAAACCCAGTGCTTTATCCTCCCTGTGGGAATATGGTGAGATCAGCAGGGGGGTCACAAATGAAGGGAGGGAGATTGGGGTGATATGATGTGTGGAGTTTCACTCTAATATGTTCTGCAGAACAGGCACAAAAATTCATTCATTCATTTATTTATTTTGGATAATAACACTGAGATTTTGAGAAGTATAATAACATGCCTGAAGTTACACAGCTGGAAGGTGGTGATGTGATACTCAGCTTAAATCTATCTGGCTCAGGCCTTTGCCCTCTGCACCACTCCATACTGCAGTTGCCAAAGCTACACACCTCCTTCTGATAGTTTCTTCTTCAAGCCTAAAGCCCACTGGGAACTCTGGATTGTTTTCTCTCAGGGGAAAAGGACTCTGCCTCATAACCCCTAAGAGTATCAGGCACTGTACTAGGTAATTTACTTCCATTACTTCATTTAATCCTCACTACAAGACTGCAAGGTAGGAACTACCATTATCCCTATTTTTATGATGAAGAATATGAGGCTTTGAGAGGTCCCATGATTACAAGTAAGAAAACCAAAATTTGCATCAGAGACAGACTCTAGACATGGTTCTTAACTGCTGCACTCTTTCACTTTTTCTTGTCTGGACTAGGTGTAGATTTAATTCTCTGCAGTATTTCATGACATAAGCACTAAAGACCAGAGTCCAAATTTCCAACTACCTTGTTCCTATCCATGAGTTCTCTTAAAGACACCACTCACACTCATCTAACACCATGAATTAAGTTGTACTGTTAGCGGGAGAATTCTTTGACCATTTTTGTACCTAATCTCCACTTCTCACAATTACCTTTATGATAGGCATTACTGTCACCATTTTCCTGGGGAGAAATTAGGGATCCTAGAGGTTTCTCCAATGGGCATCAAGTTCCTAAACCAGATCTGTCTCCAATACCATGCCCTCTCTACTTACATATCCCTCCCTACTGGGAGGACGTGAAGGAGCCTAGAAAATTTGTCATTTTGAACCATGATGTCTGCTCTGTGGCTATCCCTTCCTCTGTCCATGTACCTTATGCAAGCTCAGGAGTCAGCTTTCATCTGCACAGCACAGTAGGAGGAGAGGCCATAGCTAGGTTATGTCTAAAGCTCCCTCCTGATCTGAGAGCAATGGGTCCAGTCCTCATGACTCATCCCAAGGGCTCCAGAGAGAAGAGAACCAAGCTCCAGGACAGGACCAGATATCTGAGCTTGGGCTCTAATATGGTTTGGATCAAAAAAGTCTCCCAAAAGCATCATGTGTTTAGACATAGGGATTTTGGAAGGTAATTAGATCACAGGGCACTGAATAGGCTTAGTTGGATAAAGCAGGTCACCAGGAACATGTCTTTGAAGATTATATGTTGTCCCTGGTCCCTTTCTTTTTGGCTCTTCCCCTACTCTCTGCTTCCCAGATCCCATGAGGTGAGCTGCTTTTCTCTTTCATGCCCTTCTGATGTATTTCTGCCTTGAAGCTAGCCATTCATGGACTGAAACCTCTGAAACCATAAGCCAAAATAAATTTGTCCTCCTTCAAGTTGTGCACATCCATTATTTTGTCCCAGCAATGAAAGACTAACTAATACAGGCAATGCTCAGGCATTTCTGTCCACCCTGTGGCTCCAAAAGGTCACCGGTCACATCACTCCCCATGGAGGGCCAATTCATCTAATTCTAATTTCCCTAGGCCCCTTGAGCCTTCCCTAGGGTCCTCCCTGTGAGACTCAGTGAATCCTTCCCCTCTGTGCTCACTTATCAGGCTGACCTGGGGCAGTGGAAGTAGAGAGACCAGGTTGCTAACCTGTACTCTACCAAGCTACTGTGCTCTTCAGCTGGACACTTCTTAGAGCCATCATTCATTTTTATTTACTTCAAGTACCTGTATTCTAGCAACTTTCTTTTTTTGTCCTTTATCATTTTAATTTTTTATAAAAAATATTGAGCAATATAACTTATAAAATAAAAAGAGAAGCTCCTTTTAACCCCTAATATCTTTCTTGATTAGTACTAATTACTCTTAATGGTTAGGGGGAATCTTTTTGGAAATATATATATTTATATATATATATTCCACCTAATATATATATTCCACCTGTGTAGCATTTACAGAAATTATACACTGTGCTTGCCATATAGTAGGCACCAATATTTTTTGTCACTTCCTTTCTCATTTAATCTTGTCTTATGGCCATCTGTCCATGTTAGCACATAGAAGTTTACCTTATTACTTTTGAGATTCGCATAGTTTTCCCCTGTATATCCCCTGTCATAAAACAGTCTTCTTCAGATGACCTTCAGTGTTTTCTTATTATAACAAGGGTTGCTTCTTGAGTGCCTATCGTGTGCTTGTCGCCTTGTAGGAGGCCCTCTGTGTACACGGTATTATGAATATATCATCCTTATTCTTGAATACCTAACACTTAGCATACAATAGGTGCTCAGAAAATTATTGGAAGACCCAGAACAAATGTTTTACCTTTACCAAGTCTTTACCTTTTCCCCACCCCTTCCTATCCTCCATTCAAGTCTTAAACTGAGCTTGGAAGAAACATGAATAAGATAAAGACCCTGTGCTAGAGGAACTCAAAAACTAGTAAATAAGTGTGGAAATAGATAATGACAGTAGAGAACATGGAAAACAAAACCCACACACAAGAAACAGAGGAGGAATAACCATTATGATGCTATGATGGTTAATTTTATGTATCAACTTGACTGGGCCAAAGAGTGTCCAGATTAAAATTCTTTCTAGGTGTGTCTGTGAAGGTGTTTCCAAATGAGACCAACACTTAAATTGGTGACTCAGGAAAAGAGACTGTGCTCCCCAATGTGGCAGGAACTATCCAATTCGTTGAACACCAAAATTAAACACAAAGTGGAAGAAGGAGGATTTGTCTTCTTCCTGCTTGCCTGTTTGAGATGGGGCCTTGGTCTTCTTCCGTCCTTGAACCGGCATTTACGCCATCGGCTCCTCTGGTTCTTAAGTCACCTAGCATGAACTGGACTACATTACTGGCTCTCTGGGATCTCTGGATCATGGGGCTTCTCAGCCTCCATACTTGCATGTGCCATCTTCATTGCCTTTCTGTTTGTCATATGTATGTATCCATCTATCCATTTATCCATCCATCCTCTATCTCCTATTGTCTTATTTCTTTGGAGAAGCTTCACTAATACAATATTCAAAGGAAGCTTCCCAGAGCAGGTACCAGATCAGCTGAATTTTAAAATATACTAGGGGTTGGTTTGTCAGGAATGTGAGGTAGATACTTTGGTGCTGCCTTGACCTAACATGTGACCAACTTCCTGCACCTCGGCTTCCTTCCCTCATTCATTATTCCTGCCACAAAAAAGGGGGCTTGGGATAGTTTCTAATATTTCTAACATGATATGTATAACAACTGGGTCATTAAGTGAAGAAAAGGTGTAAGTGTTTGTAATAAAATAGGAAAAGAGAATGAGCTATAAACCGAAACTGGAGATAGTTACTGCATTTTAATGAGATTTAGTTCTTACACTTCCAAGCAGGCAAAAAGGTAGCATTGTTGTACCTATACAATGTGAGCACAAAGGCCCAGCCAGTGTCACCAGTAAAGCCCATGGCCAACCAACCCCCTCTCTATTGACTCTTGGTTTAGTCATCTGTTTAAGGCTCCCTTGTATATTTGGCTGGTGCTACAGTCTGGGTCTTAAATGTTCCCTAAAGGCCTATGTTTTGAGGGCTGGGGCCCCAGCTCATGGTGCCATTTGGAGGTCCAGTTTCTAGACCTGCTTATAAACAATTAGGTCATTGGGGCTCATGACCTTGAAGGTGATATTAGAGGCCCAGTCCCTTCTCTTCCTCTTTTAACTTCTTGGTGACCATGAGGTGAGCAGTGTCATCCACCATGCACTTCCTGCTAAGTTATAGTGCTTTATCATAGCCCCAAAGGCAATGAAGCCAAGTGATCATAGACAGAAAGCACTGAAACCATAAGTCAAAATAAACCTTTCATCCTTGTAAGTTTATTATTTCAGGTATTTTGTCACAGTAATGGAAAGCTAACACAGCTGGGTAGTATTTTGAATTGACACTGAATTATGTCTCCTTCCTATAACTAAGATAGAGAGGTTATGAAGCAAACAGTTTTAGAGTGCCTACTGTGTGTCATTCCTTCACAACTACCCTATTTGCCACATAAACATGGAGGAAACTGAGCCTGAGACAAATGGAGTAAAACATGAGCCAGATTGGACCAGGGACCCACATCTCCTGACCCCAGCACAGCCCCTTTGATAGTTTGGCAGGGAGATTTGAGGGTGGGATACCTCAGAACAAGGAACTGGCCCAAGTTTGCCAGTCTAAGGTCTTGGAGCAAGCCTGACACTTCCAGATGTCCCAGCTTGAACATAGTTGTTTTAATTTTATGGATTTAAAATGTAGAAAAACAAAAAGCCATAGAATGGGCCGGGGATTTAGCTCAGTGGTTCCACCACCTGCCTCACAAGTGCAAGGTCCCAAGTTTGATCCGTGGTACCAAAAAACAAACAAACCATAGAATGAACCATCCCCTACCAAGTGCCCACCATTTCTCTTTCTTTCTCTTTCTTTCTTTCTTTCTTTCTTTCTTTCTTTCTTTCTTTCTTTCTTTCTTTCTTTCTTTCTTTCTTTTTCTTTTTTTGTACCGGGGATTGAACTCCAGACCTTGCTCTTTCAAGGCAGGTGTGGTGCCACTGAGCTAAATCCCCAGCCCTACCATATCTTGATCTAAGAAATGGAAATAACATGAAATCATACCAAGTTTGCCCGGCTGAATGGGATCAAGTGAGAGCCACTCGGCACAGAGGCTGTACTTTATCAACTCTTGAGAAATATTAATGTTACCTTTGTCATTGTTGTCCTCCTCATCATCATCATGTTTCCACAGCCCTGTAAAGTAGCATTGCCAGTGCTACCTTGCAGCTAAGGATGATGGCTCAGGGAGATGCCATGCCCAGGAGCCCTGAGTTAGAGCCAAGATTGTAACCCAGGCCAGGAGACAAAATGTAGGCTGAAGACAAGAATACTGAAGGCAGCCAGGCTAGGGATAAGTGTGTATGGATTTGGGTCCCTATGTTGGTGGTGGTGGTGGGGAGCTTTGAATGGCAATTGGAGAAGAAACCTGGACATACATTCGGACCTGGACACTGCACTGAAGGCTGTGGTCCTCGTGGTGAGGCTGGGCTCAGGCCACGCTTGTTACCTAGAGGAACAATGAAGAAGTGGCTGCAGAGCAGGTGGAGCTGGACCCACATCTCAAGGACCCAGGGTTAGGTCCCCTGCAAGGCTATCTCTTGGGGCTTGGGTCGTCAGAGTCTAGTAAGGGTAAGATCATTGTGGTGGACCACACATGGCTTGTCCTCAGTCAGTCTAACCCAAGTATTGAATTGTGATGAATGAAAAATAGAAATTAAGGGTATGGCCTGAGTATGCTTCACCAAACACTCAGGGAACAAGATGGCATGTCCCATCCCTGCTACCCTCCAGTCTACGCCACCCTTTCCTGGCATTAGCCGCGTGTGCCCACAGGAGCCAGGTGAGTGGAAGTAGTTGCAGTCAATGGTGAAAGTGCAGCTTTCAGAGTTGGAAAGCCCTGGTTTAGAACCTGGCTCTAAGACCCAGGGAAAATTATTTTACATCTCTGGGCCTCTGTTGCCCCATCTAAAAAAAAAATACTGAGTTCCCAATGTTAATTAAGGACTATGTAAGCACTGTGGAATCACTTAGCATGGAAGCTACACTAAGTGCTTGGTAAATAGTATTACCTTTGTCATCGTCTTAGTCCATTTGGGCTAGGATAACAAAATATTATTGACTGGATAGCTTATAAGCAGTTCTAGAGACTGGGAAGTACAAGATCAAGGCGATGGCAGATTTGGTGTCTGGTGAGACCTGCTATCTGTTTCATAGACTTTGACTTTTCACTGCAACCTTGAATGGCAGAAGGAACGAGGGGTTTCTCTCAAGCCATTTTTGTAAGGGCATCAATCCTATTTGTGAGGGTTTCAGTCCCATGACTTCATCACCTCTCATGGGCCTCATCTCCTGATACACCCACCACAGTGGGGATGAAGACTTCAACATAGGGATGGGGGGTGTGTTCAGGCCATAGACATGATGATCATTCTTATCATTCTCACAACAACACTGTGAAATTTCCTCAGCAGATACCCTCAGTTTCCCCACCTGCAAAATGGAAATGATGCTGACTGCTGCAGAGTATGGCTATCAGGATTAAGTAAGAGGAGACTTTTTCCTCCCTCCTCTTATCAGCCTCTCTGTTGGGCTGGCTTCTCCAACCATTTAATTCACCAGAGTCCACAGCCTTTCTGCCAGGCTTCCTCAAGCTGTATGATCCCGAGACCCAAAGTCAGCCGACCAGACGGGGATGTTTGCCATGTGCCTCAGGAGCACAGGACAAAGCTAAAATGTCAGCTAGAGAGAAGTACAATTCCTCATAGCTTACATAGTTCTTTTTCCATCACATTCTGTCCTTTCATTTCTTGTATCCATTCTGGGGGTAAATATTTTGATTGCCACTTTGCAGACGGGGAAACTGAAGTACCAGTCCCAGGTCACACAACAGATCCTTCTTGATAGGGCTGGCACTTGCTGCCTCCTTCCACAGGCATGTGGAGCCCAATGGGGAAGTGGCTGCTGGGGTGGCGTGGAGGAGCAACCAACTGGACACTATGGTCAGGCATATGGGGGGTCCTCACAAACAGTGGTTTCCTGGCTGGGAAAGTCTGCTGCATTCCTACCCAGGGAGGCCTGGGGAGCTGGAGGGAGGAAGGCAGTGGGAAGAGGGAACATTCTCCTAGAAACCTTGTGCTCTTTCCAGTGCCTCCTCCTTACCATTGTGATGGGCTCTGGAGAGTTCCAAATGACTTTAGTATTTTGTAAGGAGGTCTCATCTCAGGACTCTGAGACCATCAGTTTCAGATGGGAACAGAGATGACCTGTATCAGGCCCTGACCAATTTGAGTCAGCCCCAGAGGGGATGTGCCTCTGGCAAGAACACTGCAGCTCAGTGTTCTGATAACAACATTGGATCCTGGAGATGAGAGGCCTGGAGGTCAAGACCAGGTAGGGGAAAGGTTACACAGGCAGGAAAGGGAAGGGCAGTGAAGCCTCAGGGATGTGCTAGTTCTTACTGTGCTGGCAAGCCTGGCAAGTCCTCTTGTTATCTTTTCCCTGCCACTACCTTGGGGCCGTCAGTAAGAGACAAGACTCAGAAGTTCAAAGTCAAAGTGCTTCTTCAGGAAAGAGGCAAAACTAAATCCTGACCTATATCCTAATCCTACAGCTCTGGTGCTGGGTTCAATAGCATTCCTTCAAAATCTGCACCTCACAATGTGATCCTTATTTGGAAATGAAGTTTTTGCAGATGTAATTAGCTAAGTTAAGATGAGGACATTCTGGAATAGGATGGGCCCAAAATCTAGTCTGGCTGGTGTCATTATAGGAAGAGGAGAGCACAGAGACAGACCCAGGAGATGGCCATAGGAAAACACCACACTAATGAAGATGGAGGCAGAGACCAGAGCAATGTGTCTACAAATTGAGGTTGCCAAGCATTGCCAGCAACCACCAGAAACTGGAAGAGGCAAGGACGCATTCTCCTGTACAGTCTTGGAGAGAGCTTGGCCCCACTGACAGCTTGATTTCAGACTTCCTGCCTCCAGGGGTGTGGGATAATACTGGCCTGTTTAAACTATGCAGTTTGTGATACTTTGTGATACTTAACAAATGAATGCACCTCCTTCCTATGGTACAGAAAGAGTAGCGCTGTGGATCCCAGGTATAGTCCTGCTAAACAGACTTTCAGGGTAAATTCAACACAGAAAAGAATGGAGAGAACACCCATGTACCATGCTGGGGCTCTATGCACCTCACATGTAGGATCATGATTGTCCCCCAGTTAAGTGTAAGCATTTCCAATTTACAAATAAGAAAACTGAAGTACAGAGAAGAGAAGCTATTTGTTTGTAAGTTCATTTTTTCCCTTACAAAAGGAGCAAACCCACACCCCAGTTTGAGTCTCAGGAGGCAAGTTGCTTACCTCCCTTCTCTGAGTTTCATTTCCTTTAACCAGAAAATGGGAATAATAGTATCTGCTTCTCAGGTGGCTGTGAGAATGAAATTATTTCATTTTTTTCATTCAACATGTTTTATGGAAGGTCTCCTCTGTGCCAGCCCTTCCACTTGGTCCTGGTGACACAGCAGTGACAGGTGCTCCATAGGGCTGGCACTTTGGAAGTGCTTAGTAGAACTCAGGGGGACAAGAATGTAGGATTGAATAGGGTGGTGTGTGGAGCTGACTTGGCCTATAAGAAGGCTCACCTTGGCACTAATTCTTTTCTCCCTGTTGGTGCCTGTTCAGCTCCCTGACCAAGCCAGGCAAGTTCCTTGAGGGCCTGGGGCCTGTGTTCCTGAGCACCCAGCAGTGGCTACTCCCAGCCGCCTTCCAAAGCCAGCAGAACTGTGGGACCCAGGCAGTCTATAGAGGCGCTGAAGGGTCCTTGATTTTCTCCTGGGGACCCTCCTTGCTGCACTGTCCCCTCAGCCATGCCTTCAAAGCTCAGCCCCATCCACTTCCTAATATTGTGCCCCCCTGGGTTAGGCCTGAGCCTGTCCTGGAGATGCTCCCTGCTGTCCTGATATCCCCTTTGGCTCCTTCAGACACTCCCCATTCTTCCCCTGAAGGCGTTCTCTGGGCAGGAGCCATTCCCTCCCTTCCAGAGGTATCCCCAGACATCACCCCCACGCTATTCTCTTTCCTTGACAACTGTGGCATCCAATATCAAATAGGCTGTACTCAGCACTGGCAGGGTGGGATTCTTGATAACTAGGTGGCTTAGGGGAGGGTCCTCTGAAGCTCCCTTGGAAGGGCTAGGAATGGTCAGGCTGGTTGAGTCTGGTTGGACCCCAGCAAATCTCTTCCTCCCAGACCTCCGCTTCCTTGAGCTTATGGTGAGAAGCCACCTTTCTGCTTCCATGGGGTGGGTGGGGGGGTGGGGACCAGGGGACACCAATAAAGCCTGTGAACATGGCAGCCGTCAATCCTAAAAGCTGACTGTCTCCCTGGTGGGCTCTGGAAGTGGGATGGTGTGGGTACAGAGCAGCTATGGCTGTCAGACCTCCTGTCCTCACATGCCCTGGGTGAGCCTGGAGAGCTGGCACAAGCACTGCGGACACGGCTCTGGCGGGCCCAGACAGCTCAGCAGTGGCAGTGGCAGTGGCAGCAGGGGTTATTCTGAGAGCCGAGCTGAGAGAGGCCAGGAGCTGAGCCCTAGGAGGGAAAGTAGCAGGGAGGAGATAGTTCTTGTGTGTGTGTGTGGGGGGGGTCCTCCGTGGTTGGGGTGGTGTGTGCACTGGGAGAGGTGTGTGCTTATTGTGGGGTGGACCACTTGAGGTTCTGAGTTTGCTGGAATTGTTTGGGCGTATGTGTACAAGTGTTGTGATCTAAGTATGAGTCAAGTAAGAAATACACAAAATGAGTGTGTGAGTGAGCTCACTCAGGAAGGCATGGAAGCAAACATGCCTGAGTGTGGAAGGAGCAGGAATGGAACTATCAACAGTGGGGCCTGTTGGTGAGCAGGAATGAATGTGGGAGTGAGTGACAGTGAGGGCACACAGGAGCTGGAGAGCTTGTGTGGGGAAGGGGAGGTGGGTTCTGGTAGTCAGGAAAACCAGGGGAAGATGTGGGGTTGTGTAACAGGCACAAGGGTATAGGGTGCATGGCAAGTGTGCTTAGAGAGCCAGTGTGTGTGCATGTGTGTAGTGAGAACAGGTGGGAGTGTATGAGTTGGAAAAAGTAGGAGGGGAAGATATAAATAATCAACAGTAATATAAAAACAAGTGTTCACAGACCACTTATTCCCAACCTAGTGCTGACATTCAGAATCTTATTTCATTCTTCAAATGTCCTGTGGAGGTAGTGCTATATAAGTCCTGTTGAGAGTAGGAAACCATGGCTTTGAGCATCTACGGAACTTGCCCATACTACTAATCATTGTTAGGCTGCCTTGTGATGAATGTGTGAGCAGGGCCAAGTTGTGAGTGAAAACGAATGTCAGCATGCACCAATAGGTGTATTGAATGTGTGTGTGTGGCCTGAGTGTGCCAGACATGGACCCCAGAGGAGAGGGCAGGCAGCAGTTGTGGGCACTGGGCAGGGCAGGGATGGAGCAGAGTCTGAGTCAGCATCTGGGGCATCTCTGCCAACCTGGATGCAATGGCAGCCTGTGCCAGGGACCCCAGCTAAGGATCCTCCCAGCCCTGGTATGGCCCCCAGCAAACTCCCATCTGAGACTTAGAGCTGGGCCAGGGGTGGAGTCTGGCAGGAGGCTTGCCTCGCCTCCATGGTACCTATAGGAGCAGCTCCCAATGTGGGCTCCCCAGGCAGGAAGAGCATATGAGAGCTGTCAGAGCGGGTTCAGCAGTGATTTCAACCCCTTGTGGCTCTAAACAAAACCACCTGGAGGGTGTATGTGGTGGGGGGAAACAGCTCCCATGCCCACCCTTGCCTTTGGGATGTGACTCAGGCAGATGCCATGCCAGGCATCTGCAAGCAGGGCCTGCTCCCACCCTGGGGGGTGGGGAGGAGCCCCTCCAGCTCCACCCAACCCTCACCCTTGGCCCTAGTCCCCAGGTCTTAAACTAGAAGGAAGGAATTTTTGAGAAAGGAGGGCTGTCCCCTGTGGCTGGGGCACAGTATTCCCGCTGTGCAGAGAACTCTGCCTCTCCAGCCTCTCCAGGACCCAGTGTACTGGCTGGGGAGATGTTAGGAACCCGGGATTCTAGTGCTGGCCTTGCTGTCTGGGCGTTACTTCCCCACTCTGGCTTCAGTTTCCTGATTGTCAAAACAGGTATATTATGCTAAAGGGACCCAAAGTGTTGCTGGCAGGACAGCAAGCTGTCTGGACAAGCAGGGAATGGAGATATGTATGTGTAGGAGGTGGGGTTAGGGGAAGTGTCAGGGTTAAGTTGACACATGAGCTGAGTATGCAGATGGGAGGCATTTGCAAGAGGACCTTGAGGAGGGGAAAGGATGTTCTAGGCAGAGGGCATACCCTGAACGAAGGCTGGCAGGCACACAGAGTGGTGGCTGGAAATCCAGCCTAGGACCCTGTGGGATAAAGTCCTGGAGTGCCCACCTTCTCAGCTAGCCTCGCCCTTCTGCAATCATATGATGATCTGATTACCACCTGACTCTTCTACTAGTCTATGCAAGAGGGACATCATTTATGTCAGTCTCTGCTCTTCCCATAGTGCCCTGCACAATGTCAGGTGTATCAGAGGTGCTCAACAAATACCAGTTAAATGAATGAGAAGCTTTTCCTCAAACACTCTGAACTTTAGGGTAAGGACTTATTCCAACAGTCCCTGTAAGAATCTCCCAAGACTGTAAGGCAGTGGTTTGCAAATTATGGTTCCTAGGGCATCACCTGGGAACTAGCTAAAAATGCAAAATTTTGGCTCCAACCTAGATCTGCCAAATCAGAAACTCGGGGTCTGGGACACATCGATCTGTTTTAACAAGCTGTCCAGGATAATTCTATTACATTTTGAATGAACTTTGAGAACCAGAGCTCTAAAACTGTGCCCACAGGCACCATAAAAGCCCATGAAGACCCCATTTGCAGACTGAGAAACTAGGATTGCGGCAAAGGCTGGCCTAGAAATCAAGTATTCTCAAATCATTCCTTTCCGTAGCCCAGTTTGGGGCACAAAGAGGAGTTAGATCTCCACTCGGTTTCTGGAACGAAGATTTGGAACCTCAGGGTCTAGAAACAGAGGGCGGGGAATTCTTCAGGGGGGCTAAAGGCGGGGCCAGGGCTCTGAGCCCCGCCCCATTAGCGTTGCCCCGGGAAACCCCGGGTTGTAACAATAACCCGCTGGGAGGGATCCTGTGGAGTCCGTGGGCGGGACAGTCCTGGCAGGGACCAATGGGAGCCCTTGGGCCCCTCCCCGCCCCCCCCCCCCGCCGCACAGGGGGCGGGGTCGCACATACCACTTCTGCCCTACTCCGTAGGCGGCGCTGCAGCTTGCAGGGGCTGCGGAGGGGTCGCCCAGAGCTGGGAGTTCCACGCCCTCGACCCAGCCCTTGGCGGGGCACCCGGGCGGGCCCAGGATTCCGCGGCCGCTGGCGAGCACGCCCCGCCCCTCCCCACCCGGCCCGCCCCTCCCGCCCCTCCAGCCCCCCGCCCATCCCGAGGTGCAGCCGGCGCTAAGCGCGGCGGGCGCGGGAGCTGTTGCTGGAGCCGGAGCGGCGGCGGCTGCGTTCACCGGGCGGCGGCGGCAGCGCGGGCCCCGGCACGGGCTCGGTCTCAGGCATGGTGCAACCCGGTCTCGTCCCGGGAGAGCGGGACTCGCGCGCTGGGCCGGCGCCCGGGGAGCGGCGGCGGCGGCGGCGGCTGCAGGCGCAGGAAGGCGGCAGGTGCTAGAAGCCGGGCTGGGCGAGGTGTGTACCCGCCGGGCTCCCGGGCCGCCGCCCCCTCGCCGCCCGGGTCTTAGCCTGTCCTCGTGTTCCCCAGCGCGTCCAGCCCCCTGCCTCCGCGCCCCGACCCATGGCGACCCGCAGCTGAACCAGCGCCGCCAGGGACCCCTCCCGCGGGCCTCCCGGGGCGCGCAGCTCCCGGAGCCGCCCGCCCACCCTCCGCGGAGCCTCCCTCCCCTTCTCGCCGGAGCCGGGCGGGACCATGGCCGCGAAGCTACGAGCGCATCAGGTGGACGTGGACCCGGACTTCGCGCCGCAGAGCCGGCCGCGCTCCTGTACCTGGCCCCTGCCGCAGCCTGACTTGGCTGGCGACGAGGACGGAGCGCTGGGCGCAGGGGTGGCGGAGGGCGCCGAGGACTGCGGGCCGGAGCGCAGGGTTACGGCCCCGGCGATGGCCCCTGCGCCGCCCCTGGGAGCAGAGGTCGGACCGCTGCGGAAAGCGAAGAGCTCCCGGCGGAACGCGTGGGGGAACCTGTCCTACGCCGATCTCATCACCAAAGCCATCGAGAGCGCCCCGGACAAGCGGCTCACGCTCTCGCAGATCTACGACTGGATGGTCCGCTACGTGCCCTACTTCAAGGATAAAGGCGACAGCAACAGCTCGGCAGGCTGGAAGGTGGGGGCGTCCGGCTGGGAACGGGCTGGGATGCCAATTGGGGCTTCCTGGGCGGACAGTCGGGAGGGGCTCTGGGCGCTCCCAGGGGTCACGGACTGTGCGCCCAGGGCGTGGGGTCGGCCGGCGGACAGGTGGGGGCGTGCTGGGAGCAGCTGTGTGCGTGATCCCTCGCCAGGAGGCATGAGGGCTGGGAGGTCTGGTAGGGTGACAAGGGACTGCCTCTTTGGGGCGTCCCCAGCAACATCCCCACCCAGTCCTTGGGGGCATCGCTGGGGAGCCCATTCCCAGGTCACGAACATTGGGGAGCCCCTGCTCCCCCGAGTTTGCTTTGTATTACTCTTGTTTCACCCTCTCCACCGGGGCATCCTTTTTAAAGAGCTGGAGTAATGACTTGGGACCAGTGGCTGCTTTCCCTCCCAAATCTCTACTGCCTTTCCTCCAGCTGGCCCCAGAGTGAGGAGTGCCAACCATGGGCCTACAGTTCTTTCTGTGATGCCAGGAGTTCACCCTGGAGCACCAACCTGCCTGGGGAGGGGAGCTTGGTGGGTGACCTGAGATGTGAGTTCATTGGGCAAATGGTGCTGGTCTCTTACCTGGTTCAGCATGGCTGGGGAGGGAGGGTGTTAACCAGTGCAGGCGCCAGGGTATGGTGTTGAGGGCTAGGAAATCTGTCCTGCTCACCCCAGGGAGCTTGTCTTCCACCTCCTTGGCTTTCTGGGCCCAGATGCATTTTGGGGTTGGGGGAGGGGTGGGGTACCCCTTGGAGGCCTCAGTGCCAGGCAGTGGAAAGAGGGGGGCATCTTGGGAAAGGACAGGGACAGGGCCTTGACTGGATTGTGATCTCCAGACCTAGTTCTTCCTCTGGCCGTCTTACTGGAGAATGAGGCTAGTCTGTGCCTTTGAGGGTAGGGAATGGAAGGGGCTTGTGCCTAGGAGGTAAGCTGTCAGGCTCCCTATGGGAGGGGGCCCTTTGTGCCTATATCTAGGGAGGGGGCTTCACCCTGTGGTGTTTGGCAGCAGGGTCCCAGGAAGGAAATGGGCTAGTGGCAGAGGGGAGGTTGTGGACATGGATCACTCCAGATGCCCATGGCAACGTTGTAGGGATCAGAGTGTCCTGACCTGGGAGCCCATGACTCTCAGGCTTTGTACTGGCTGCTTCTGTCTCTTGCAGGCCACTATCAGACAGGGACACAGGCCAGAGAAGTAGACATGAATCTCCTTCCCCACCCCCTAAGGCTCAGTCCCCACCAGAACACTCCCCATGCTGTGTCCTGTGCTTGATCTTTGTTCCCACCTCCCTCTCTACTCCACATGTCCTGGTCCACCTTCTGCTCCTCCCTATAGTTGTATTCACTGCCCTTAAGTGCACAGAGTTCAGATGCCTCCTCTGGGAAGCCCTCCCTAACCCTTTTTAGCCCTTAGGACTCCCTCTTCTCTGGCCCTCTCTAGCCCTGCAGTGGTTATTAGTCATTTGTGTCCTGCCTAGTTTCCCTTTACTACTTCACCTTTGGAAGACATGTCAGAGCCATTCTGTGCCCACAGCACCCAGCATAGAGCCTGGCACCAAGAAGCATGTGTAGTGAAAGAGTGAGGAGATGAGTTGATGCTGCAGAGGATTCGGAGTCAGGGGAGTACAGTGGGCCAGAAGGCCAGGAGGGCTTCCCACAGGTGGTGGAGTTCCAGCTGGGCTTGATGGGTGAGGGAGGATGGGCAAGATAGGGAGAGGGGACTCGGGACTGGAAGCCGGGAGACAGCTGCAGCTCATTGAGGATGTCAGGGCCGAGCTTTGTGTCAGGTACCCCTGCATGTTTAATGCTCTCAGCAGTCCTTGAGTTGGGTTTTACGGTGGCCATTTACAGAGGCGCGCACAGGCAGAGTGGAGGGGTGAGTTGCCTATGGTCCTACACTTACAAGATGGGAAAGCTGGATTCCAACCAGACATGTTTCCTTCCGGGGCCCCACATGGCCTTTGGAGCAAGGTCTTGCTGACTGCTGGAGCAGGAGGGGGACACTGAAGGCTTCTGAGTAGGGGCAGGTATAAACCCTAGAATGGGGTGGGAGTGTGCTTGAAGATAATTTAGTGCCTTGAGTTCATTGCTCAGACTCTGAGACTGAGGCCTTGGAAGATGATAGGACTCTCCTGAGGGCATCAATGAGCAGCAGGCCCTGGACAAGGGCCCAGGGCTCCTGCCTGCCTTCTGGATGCAGTTTCCACTGCACCACACTGATGGGGACACACTGGTTCTCCCTTGTGCCTGGCTTTTATTCCTGGGCTGGGGCATTGGAGAAGCCTCAGGTTTGAGCTCTTGCCCTAGGGCCTGGCCAAGATTACCTAGGCACTGGAGAGGATCTGTCCCATGCTGTCCCTTCAGGGGCTGTCCCCTTTTACTCCACCTCCAGCTCTCTAGGTGGGGTGAAGAGACTTCTTTTTCTCTCATTTCTGGAGCTTCTTGCCCCTACACCCCTTCCCCCATTCCCAGTCAGTTCCTCCAGAGGCCTGATGGAGGAGCCATCCCCAACTCTTAACAGATCTCTGGTTAACAGGCTGCAGTGCACCTCAGGTGCCAGGTGGAGCTGGGACCCATTATTCCTCCCTCTCCTCTCCAACAAAAGTGTTGCACTTGAATCCCTGGGGTGTACCACACCCTGGGTTCCATAGGTGGGAGCATAGGGAAAGGCCTTGGCCCTGCTTTCAGGGTACATCAGGATTCATCGAGTTTCCTCTCCCAAGCCTTCTGCTTTGCAGATAGGTAAAGGCTGGGGGTGGGCAGGAGTAGGAGAAAGTAGTAACCTGGGAGTCAGGTAGGTTCCCACAGAGGTGGTGGCACTTGATCTGGGCTGCCTTCACTGAAGAGGAGAGAATTTGGGAGATAGTCTTCCAGGAGGTGTTGACTGCATACCCAAATGCAAGGAGGTAGGATTGTGATGTTGGATTTTGGGCACCCTTTGGATGTGCCAGGCTGGAGCCCAAGGCTCCCAGGCATGGCCAGGGAGGTGGCTTGGGAAAGTGGAACGGGGCTACATGCTGAGCCTTTGCCTGTTGGACTCATATGTGATGTGGAGAGGTAGTCCAGGGGTACTGAGGATAACAATTGAAGGAGGCAAGACCAGTAGTAGGTTCAAGACGCCCAGAAAAAGGCTGGGCTTGGCGCTCAGAGTTGAACCAGAGGTGTTGGTGCTATTCCCCTTGGGACAGAGCATCTCAGCCTGGCCTGGGGGCTCCTCTCCCTCTAACTTGTCCAGAGAGTATGGATATCTGGGTAGGCCTCCCCCTCCCTCTCAGATGCTCCAGCCCCACTTTCCCTTAGCCTTGACTCTTCTGGGAAGCCTTCCTGGCTCCTCTGAGCCGTGGTGTGCCTTCCTCTGGAGTTGTTCAGCCTCCTTTTGTGTTTCCTGGCTGCCAGCTCCTTTGGGAGCTTCCAGGCTAGGCCCGGGCACCTCCCATTCCTGTCCCCAGGCCTGGTGGGGAGGAACACAGTGGATAGGGACTTACTTTCTTCCTCAGGGGCTGGAGCAGCCTGGTTGCTGAGGGCTGGGATTAGAAGAGCTGGTGGTTCCCCCATCTGGCTCAGGCCTTGGGCTGTAAGTTCCAGGTGGGGTGGGGGTGGAAGGGGAGGACTGATCAGAGAGGCCAGGAGCAGTGTCCTGCCACAGCACGGAGAGTGGCCATGAGTGCAAGGCCCCCTTTCCTCTCCACCCTCAGCTTGCTCCCAAGGGCTCCCTCCTCCTCCTTTGTCCTCTGGGGATCCCCAAGGGCTGGCGGGGGTGCAGGAGGAGGCGGTGTGAGCCTGGATTGGGGGGTGTCCTCACCCCCCTCACTGCACGAGCGAGGGGCTGGCAGCTGCCCGCCTCCTGGGCACGAGCCCGTGCCAGCCGCTCCTGGCACAGTTGCTGGCACGCCCGGCAGACTCCCACGGCCACCTGCTCACACCCACCCACGAGCGCTGGCGCGCTGCGGGCCCTTCCGGCTTCCCGGGCCTCCCAGAGCCCCTCCCCTGCCGCCTTGCCTGAGCCCCCTCCCCAGACTTCAGCTCCTCCACTTGGACCCGCTGGGCTGGCCTGCCCCAGGGCCCCGCCCCGTGCAACTTGGGGAGAACACAGGCAAGACGGGCCTCAGAGGCCTCAGGGCAGCCACGCCTTGGGGGAAGGGGGACCGCAAGGCAGGCAGACAGACCGACAGACAGGGTGAGGGCCCCGCCTGCCACCTGGCGCCGCTCCAGCGGGACGATGGCGGGCAGCGCCGTGCCAGGCGGTAATTGCAGACAGACTAATTTAAAGAGATGAGACGGTTATTTTTAACTCGCGTTAAGGTAATGAACGGCGCGGGGGGTTTTGCGGGTTCGAAAGTTCAGCGCCCCCCAGCCCCCACTTTATGTGGGTCAGAGCCCCCTTTCTGCATGCCTTTCGGCCTCCAGCCTCAGGAATGACAGGGGTGGAGTGAGGAAGGAGGCTGACAGCAGGAGAGGCCCTGCCAGAGGCAGGAGGGCTGCTGGGGAGGGTGCTCAGTTGCCAAGTGAGGGTCCCACCAGGTCCTGACAGAAGCTTAGTGTCCCTCTTTCCTAGTGGGGAAACACTTGTCCTGAGATCACATACCTAGGAAGTGGCAGTCCTAGGAATTGAACTCCCCTCTAACCCTGAAACTCAAGCTTTTTCTGTGGCATTGGGTGTGACTGGGATGGGTAGGTGCTGGAGGGAAAGGCTTGGGTTTGGACTGTGAAAGGGCTGGGCGCTTGTTCCTTGCAGCCCACCTTCCTCTGTCTGAGTGGTAGCTAGTGATGGCCTCCATCTAGGGTCCTGGGATTTGCCTGTGTCTTGGGAAGGCTGATGGGATGGTCATGGGCTCTGTGTGTGGCCGTGAGCCTTTGGAATGAGGGTGCTTAGGCTGTAATCCGGGAGCCCCTCCTGTGTCTTCCTGCTTCCCTGACCTCCCCAGCTGTGCCAGCTAGGGCCCCTCCCACTGGGGGCTGTGTACCTTAGAACCTGGGAAAGAGGGGAGCATG